TAGATGTAATTAAGGTGGAAGATCTAGAGATAAAGTGAGTATCCTGACTACCCAGCCATACCAAATTAATCACATGAAGAGAGTTCTCTTTAGCTAGAGGCAGAAGTCATAGGGATTCCAAGCATGAGAAAGATTTGGTGCACAGGCTCTGAGAGCCCACGGGCAACGACTGAAAGGGAGGCCTCTAGGAGCAAAGGAAAGCCCTCAGCTGACATTCAGCAAGGAAATGGGAACCTCAGTCCTACAACTGCAAGGAACTAACTGAAAGAACTTGGAAGCAGATTCTTCCCCAGAACCTCCCAAAGAGAGCCCAACCAGCCAATGACACCTTGATTTCTGCCATGTAAAACCTGAAGTAGAGAAACTAGCTGAGTCTTAAAGCAATCTGGACTTCTGACCCACAGAACTTTGAGATGATGTTTGTATTGTTTTAAACTGCCAAATTTGGGGTAATTTATTACAGCAGCAATAGAGAAAAAAATGAATAACCAACCAAAGAATCAGCAACATAAGGAAAAATACAAGAAATTAAATCTACAGGTGCCTTTAACTTAGAATGAGCCAAACATTAAAATAAATAAAGTTACTAGTAAAATTGAAAGTTACTTGGGATCCTTCAAAATCCTATTGAAGAATCAGAAAAAGCAGAATGACCGCCTGGGTTGGAGCTATATGTCGAATGGTTGTCAGTAACTGTGAATGATTCCTCTCCTGACAAATAAAAATCAACATGTGGGAGCTGGAATGCATAAGTAATACAAATACATCCCTCTCCCTTGCTATCAACAAGAAAATAAATATATACTACAGTACAAGTACAGCTACACTTAAGAAATTATTGTGTAACTCCAGCACAATACCTGACACAAAGCAAGTTTTTAGTAAATGTTTATTATTATTATTTTGCCCCCACTGTGTCTCTTGCACTGAAAAGAGCTGCTGTGGGGAGAAACCAGCCCCAGTTATGCACAAGCACATGCTCTGGTGCTGCAGCCTGACCCCTGGTGCAGTATTATTATTGTCATTGTTATTATTATTACCTCATTTCATTTGGTATAATCCCTAGGAGTAAATATTTAATTTGCAAAATTAAAGCATAATTTTCTATTGATTTAGCATATAACTTGAGAGAGAATTGCATAGGAAAAAAAAGGCAATGTTAAGATTTAAAAAGTCACAAACAAAACACCCTACCTGAAAGCATTTTAATCCAACTTCCTTTGAAAGAAAACACTTTTGAAAGCCATCTTGCAATTTTTTGCTCCCTGCATTTTCTGGTCCTTTCTCTTTTCCCAGGTTAAAGACCATCACCTTCTCTTAGAACCATCAAGAGTACACACTCAGTTTTCCTGTGTAGGAGGGAAGAAGACAGGGAGGGAAGGAAAGAAAAGAGAAAAGCTGGAAGACAGAAAAAAAAGAGAGCGGAACATAACGACCCTCAGAGTTACTGAGAACAAGTGACTCAGATGAGAGATGGTGGGGGCAGAATTGCCAGTGTTTATCAAGAGCCTGTTCTAATCAAGGCCTTTTGTTAGAAACTGTGGGGTGGGTGGAGGATCTGGACTCACTGAACTCCCAGATCTCTGCGGCAGACAAGGCACAAGTAGGTGAGTGTTGAGACTGGTTTTTGAGTGAGATAGGTGTAGCTTAAAAGCCTGATTTTGCCTCTGACCAGATTTACAGCCTCAGGCAAAATTAACTTCTCTAACTCCAATGTTCCTATTGGTAACCATTAGGATGATTATTGTAAGTATAAAACATTTAAATAACAATATAAAACAATATAAGAGATGTCACAAAACAATATGTGATTTATTATCAGTTCAATTATGAAAACTATAGTGACCCTTAGATTAAAAGGAGATACCTCTTTTTAAGGAGATGGTGAGGAGAACCATAGACCCAGTGAGATAAACATATAGAGAGGGAGAACGTGCTGGTTTCTTTAAAAGGGTAAAGTCAAGGGAGGTGCTAGACCCCAGAGGATCGCTAGTCCTCATTGGGTTTAGCTTCAATGAAGTGAAGTTCTGATATATTATGGTACAGTGTAAATTATTGTAACAGAGGAATTCCAAACCAAGTGGCTTATTTATAACAGGAGTTTATTTCTCTATCAAGTAATGTGATCCATGGCTAAAGAGAGTTTATTGTATTCAACAAAGGCTTCCAAGTCTGGGTCAAAGATCAGTTCTGACCGTGGCCAAGAATCTGGAAGGGGGAAAAGAGGAGGTGAGAGCACTCCTAATCCTTTTTTGAATAGGACTGTAATGTGGTGCAAATCAATTTCACTCACATCTCATTGGTCGCCTGGCCACAGAAAGCTGCAAGGGAGATCTGGGAAATGTAGTCGTTTGCCCATTGGCTATGTGTCAAGCTACAACAAAAAGTAAGAATAGGGAAATGGATGTTGGGAGACAATTAACAGTCTTTGTCATAGATAGACCAATGGGAAGCCAAAAATTTTGTGAGAATTTTAGGAATAGAAAGCGGAAGTCTGCTACCTGTTTCAACAAAACGAATACCATGTGTCTAGGTGTAAATTTCCTTTTCTTTATCCTAGCAATCATTTAGGGTTCTTGAATCTGTGGGTTGGTGTTTTACTTCAGTAGTGCAAATCTTCAGCTTTTTTCTCTTCAAATACACTGCCCTATTCTCTTTTCTTCTGGCCATCTCTCTTTCACTCTCTCTCTCTCTCCCTCATCAGAACACACTATATCCTTTATGTTTCTTACCATCCCATCGATATTTTCCATCTTTTTGTTTCTCTGTGCTACATTCTGATGATTACTCCTGACTTATCCCTTGGCTAAGTAATTTTCACTTTATCAGTATCCAATCTGCCAAATACATGGTGTGGCAAAAGTACGTTTACAGTTGCAAGTACATGAATCACACTTTATTCTGTATTATTATTTATTGATTATAATATTATTTTCCGTATGAACAACTACAAACCTACCTTTACCCCACACGCTATGTCTACTGAATTTTTAATTTCAGATATTGAATTTTCTATCTCTGGAAATTCTATTTGGTTCTCTTTCAAATGTGTTAAGTTATTTTCTATAGTTTTCTGTTCCTACGTATATGTGCAATATCATCTTTTATTTGTTTCACTGTAGTATAAATGGAAATTCTGACACATGTTACAATATAAAGAACCTGAGGACATTTTGTTAAGTGATATAAGCAGTCACAAAAAGACAAATACAAATACTGTATTATACCTGGACATAGCATATCATTTATCATATCCAGAGTAGTAAAATTCATAGAATCAGAAAATAGAACGGTGATTGCCAGAGGCTGTGGGAAGGGGAAATACAGAATTGTTGTTTAATGGATATAGAATTTCAATTTTTAAAGAAGAAAAAGTTCTGGAGATTGGCTGTACAACAATATGCATATAAGCAACATTGTTAAATTATACATTTAAAAATGGTTAAGATGGTAATTTTATGTTATGTGTATTTTACCACAATTAAAAATAAAGTAAAAATTTTAAATAATGCAAAAGCATGTAATAATTATATTTGTCTCATGATCTGGTATTCTTGCAGTTCTGTTTCTACTTCTGCTGGTTCTCACAGCACCTGTTTCTTGTGTGCTTGGTATTTTTTACTGTGTACTAGTTACTGTCTCTCAACAATTACTGTTGGAGATCCTTTGAGGGCCAACATAAAGGTGCATTCTTCCAGAAAGGATTGGAGTTTGTTTCTGCCAAGCACTTAGAGGTACTTCCAGTTCAGGATTTCATGTAATTTGGACAACAAACCTACAAAAAAATTAGCTATGATTACAATGTCTTGAGGAGAGTCCCCCCAACCCCATACATTCAGTGTACTACTAAGTAACTTTCCTGGAGTCTCTTGGAAGAAAGCTGTGGGGCAGGTTTACTTCTGAAGCACTGTTAGGCATAGCCCTTTGGGAGGCCATGACGAAAAAAGGGGAGGCTTTCAAATATGCTCCTCTTCTTGGTGGCCCCTGAGCTTTGATTTCATTCTTCTTACTCTAAAGAACTCTCACAGTTGAAATTCAAGTTTGGCCAGATTGGAAAATAGTCTCAGAACAAAGTTGACTTCCTTACTGGCTTACCTGTCCCAGTTCTTAAACTCCTATAGACTTTGGCTTCTAACCTCTTGCCCTTTACCCTGTCAGCACTTCTGTATTTCTAAGAATATTTTAAATCTATTTTATCCAACATTTTTTGTTGTTTTAAGCAGTAAGTTAGCTTTAATAACCTAACTAATCAGAAATCCCTCTACTTTTTCTTTATTTGTTTTTCACTGATTTCTGTTCTGTTTTTTCTTCCTCCTATTTTTTGTTGTTCTTATTATTCATTTTTTCCCCTAACTTCTTGAGTTGGACACTTAGCTCCTTATTGCTTTTTCTTTTCTATTATAAGGCTATTCTGCCCTAAGGCTCTAAATTTCCCTTAAATTACGCTTTTCATTGTATCCCTTAAATTGTGAACCCTGTGCTTATTTTAATGCTGAGGACACCTGCACTCAAGGTCTGAGTGCAGCCAATTTTCCCCATCAGTGGGTAGCAATGGTTGCCCAAGGCAATGTTAGGAGAGATAGAAATACAATTTAAACTACCTTTTTTTGGCTCTGTGTTTTCCAATCCTGGTTACACATGAAAAATCACAAGGAAGTTTTGAAAAATGCTGATGTTTTGGGTCCCACCAGAGAATGTTCTAATTGGACTGGAGCAGGGCTTGGTCCTGGGTACTTTTAGTGATTCTAATGTGAAGCCAAGGTTGAGAAGCACGTCTCTAATTTATCTGATCCCTGCCACTAGACTGCATCCTCCCTCCTCCCCACTCACACTCCCAATCAATTTTAAACAGTCTTTGTCTTCCCAAAGTTATCTTCGAGTGTCCATATTTCTTTCTGTTGTTTCTCCTTTGAGAAAGGAGGCAGAACCCTGGTAATTTACCCCAGTAGCAGGAACCAGAGATCTCCTTTATATTGTTTGTCTTCACAGGAGGTCTCAGCATGAAGCAGAAACGCTGGTGTGGGATGACTGCCAAAACGGGCACCGTGTTATCAGGGGTCTTTACCATCATAGCCACATACATGTACCTCATCTTTGAACACAAGCACATGAGGAGCAGCGACTGCACTGAGATTAACCTAAGTGCCAAGAGTGTGAATATCCTGATAAGTCAGTTCATCGCGTGTTGGAGTTGGAACATTGTCCTTTTCCTGTCTTGCATCACCTTCATCATCAGCTGCTTGCTCCTGTACTCAGTATATGCCCAGAAGCACAGGGGCTTGGTGCTCTATTTAATCTGGATCTTTTTCAATGAAGCCATAAACATTATAGTACAAATCCTAACCAACAATAACACCAACATTGGAGAAGTCAAAGTCATGCGCTGGTTTGGTTTAGTGTCCCGTATATCCATGCATTGTTTCTGGACGTTCTTTGTCATGACTTATGCCCAGATAATCTACAAAAGTAAAAGCCAGGGCAATATCATTTCCTACAACATACGTACATCTATAGGCAACAGAGATTTTCCACGGCGGAAATCAAAGATAATCAGCCTTTCCCGCCACTATAATGAATAATGTTGGCCCTTCTCTCTCCTTAAAGGCAGGTCTCCTAGATTCCCATGGTAGTTCTATTTCCATCTCTTCACTCTTGCTGGTCTGTTCAGCAACTAGAGACCCTACTGCCACCCTTTCCAGGGAATGTGAAGAGAAATGTGATTAGGCTCACAACTGGAACATCCTGCTCATTGAGGATGTTTAGTTGAAGTTCATTGTTATTTACAAAGCACTCCTTGAGTTACTCCTTTTTCTAGTCAGTACCACCTTATCAGACAAAATAAAGAAGGCCAGGGAATGAAATGAAGCTGAACTGCAGTCTAGCAATTCATTCATCTTGGTATGTCATTATTCACCTTCAACCCACAGCTCTCTAATTTAACCCTGAGACAGGCAAATCTGTATTTATTTCTCAGATCATTGAAGCACAAAGGGTGCTGTTGATGCCTTGGAGTGGTTTAGTGCTATGGTTTTTCTCCCGATGTCCTCTATGCTATATTCCATATAAGTAAAATAATAAAAATAGAGCCCTGGCTGGAGTGGTTCAGTGGATTGAGCACCGGCCTGAGAACCAAAGGGTTGCAGGTTTGATTTCCAGTCAGGGCACATGCCTGGGTTGCAGGCCGGGTCCCCAGTAGGGATACTTGAGATGCAACCACACATTCATGTTTCCCCCTCTTTCTCCCTCCCTTCCCCTCTATCTAAAAATAAATAAATAAAATCTTTAAAAAAAGAAAAATTGAGCAAACTTCTACTTCAAATATTAGACATTTTGTCAATTGTTTATTTAGTAACTTCCTTGAAGCATACTTGACATATAACATGTAATGTTTAAAATATATAATTTGACATAAGTATATCCCAGTGAAACCATCACCACAACTGAGTTCATGAACATATGTATCACCTCCAAAAGTTTCTCCATAATCCCTGCTCCCCCCACTGTCTATAGCCTGCCACTCCCATCACAAGGTACTGATTTGCTCTTACCATATATTAGTTTGCATTTTCTAGAATTTTACATAAGTGGATTCATACAGTATTACTCTTTTTTTGTCTGGCTTCTTTCACTTAGCCTAATGCCTTCAAGGTTCTTCTGTGTCGTTAAGTGTATTAATAGTTTATTTTTTATTGGTGAGTAGGATGCTATGGCATAAATGTACCACCATTTTTTAAAAAAATCTATTTGCCCATGGAAGAACATCTATTGATTTGCAGTTTGGGGCAACTATGAATAAGGATGCTATAAACATTTGTGCATGAGACTTTATGGATTTATGATTTCATTAATCTTGGGTAAATACCACTTTAACTTTTTTAAGAAACTGGAAATTTTTTTTAAAGCAGCTGTACTGTTTTATATTTCCAATGGCAGTATATGAAAATTCCAGTTTCTCCACATCCATGCCAGCACTTAGTATGCACACTAAGTTTTTTATTTTAGCCACTCTAATGGGTATATAGCGGTATGTCACTGCAGCTTTAACTTACATTTCTCTAATGATAAATGATGTTGAGCATCTTTCCACATGCTTATTTAGCATCCTTATATCTATTTTTGTCCATTTTTTGTTTTATCTTTAGCCCATTTTTAAAAATTAGGTTGTTTTTTTGTTGCTGAGTTTGGGGTGTTCTTTATACTTTCTGAATACAAGTCCTCTATCAGCTATATCATGTAGAGGATACCGTCCAGCAGTATCCATCTCGGCTGTGGATGCTCATCAAAACACGAGAAAAACATACACAGAGACAACCAGGTCCTGTGGGGGAATAGGGACAGAGGGGCCACTCCTCATGTGGGGAGCACCTTTGGCCACCCTCCCTCCGGGAGGGCGCCCTGTGTCCATACCCAAGCAGATTTTTATTGAAAAAACAGACTTAGTTTGTGGATTCACAGTCTGGCAGAATAGATCAAAAGATGTAGGCAACTTACAAAGGTGGGGACAGAACTCCTGCTGAGATTCTGGGCAAGGGTTGTGGTCTTTAACATATGAAAGGGCTACAGGTTCCAAAGGTTTCCTGCCTGTGCCTTTAAATTCCAAGTTAATAACATCCTCCAGCAAACAGATCTCACAGGATCTTGCATATTCTATGTCCCAGGCCTGATTATCCCGGTGGCCCACATTTCTGGTCTGGCCTGCACCACCCCTGCAGGCCTGAGAAGGGCAGAAGACAGAGGCAGCCAGGAGACTTGGATTACTCACATCTAAGAACAAAGACTCAGGCTTTGACAAAGGCGAGAGGGCAGGGGTTGATGTCCATCACCCCTTCATTTCCACAGCTCCGAAACTCTTCCCAGAAGCCTCACATGATCATGCCTGTCTTAGGCGTTTCCCTCCATGGGAAATCTTACCCGTCATTGGCTAACTGATCAAGCTAGGAGGTTTCGGCGCAGAACAGGCAGCATTCATGCCAGGGGAATAAGTTTTTGTCTTCTTAGTGGCTCCTGGTCCGGAGGACTCTCACTCAGCCTAAGTCACAGGGGCGGGGGTGGGGGGGGGGGGTTATAGCTTCCTGAGACCAGGCGGGGTGGTCCCCAACAATATGATGGGTAAATATTTTCCTATTTTGCGCCTTGTCTTTTCATTCACTTCACAGCATCTTTTAAAGAGCACCAAGTTTTTATTTCAATGAAGTCCAATTTATCAATTTGTTCTTTTATGGGTCACACTTTTGGTTATATATTAGGAAATCTTTGCCTAACTCAAGGTCATGAAGGATTTCTCCTATATTTTCCTCTAGAAGTTATAGTTTTAAGTTTTAAACTTAGATATATAATCCCCTTTGTTACTTTTCATATGTGGTAAGAGATGTAGATCAAAGTTTACTTTTCTGCTCCTGGATATCTAATTGTTCCAACACTAATTCTTGAGAAGTTTATCTTTTCTCTACTGAATAGATTTTGTATACACACACATACCTACTTCTGGACTTTATTTTTTTATGTGTTATATAAAGAATGTATATAATACAGTCCAGGGAAATGTCTAGCACAATTGAGAGTTTTGTAACTCAATGTGACAATAAAGTTAAAAGACAAGTACCATATAATCAAAGTCATGAAAAGAAATTTTTAAAAATTTTACAAGACAAAAAGAACCCAGCAGAAAAGTAGGCAATGGAAGTAAATAGGGAATTCATAACGAAGATACAGAAATGGCTGGTACACATGAAAAGATTCTCAATCTCATAACTATCAGAGAAGTGCGTATCATTTTACTGCTCATATTTTTTATCTTCTTTTTCTTAGATAAGTCCCTTTAACATTTCATATAGTAATGGCTTGGTGATGATGAACTCCTTTAACTTGACCTTATCTGGGAAGCACTTTATCTGCCCTTCCATTCTAAATGATAGCTTTGCTGCATAGAGTAACCTTGGATGTAGGTCCTTGCCTTTCATGACTTGGAATACTTCTTTCCAGCCCCTTCTTGCCTGCAAGATTTCTTTTGGGAAATCAGCTGATAGCCTTATGGGCACTCCTTTGTAGGTAACTCTTTCCTTTCCTCTTGCGGCTTTTAGGATTCTCTCTTTATCTTTAATCTTAGATAATTTAATGATGATGTGCCTTGGTGTGTTAATCTTTGGGTCTAACTTATTTGGGACTCTCTAAGCTTCCTGGACTTCCTGGAAGTCTATTTCCTTCACCAGATTGGAGAAATTTTCCTTCATTATTTATTCATTCAAATAAGTTTTCCCTTTCTTGCTCTTGTTCTTCTCTTTCTGGCACCCCTATAATTCAGATATTGGAATTTTTCAGGTTGTCCCAGATATTCCTCAGCCTTTCTTCATTTTTTTGGATTCTTGTGTCTTCACTCTGTTCCTTCATTCTTATCCATTTGTTCCAAATTGTTGCTTTGAGTTCTGGTTTCCTTCCTGTCACTGTTGGTTCCCTGAATATTTTGCTTTATTTCATTGCTTTATTTCATTGGATATCTTTCATTTGTTTTTGTTTTTGTTTTTGTTTTTCATTTTTTAACCAAGCTCAATCAGTTCTGTGAGCATTTTGATTACCAGGGTTTTAAATTCTCTATCAGATAGGTTGGCTATCTCCTCATTGCTTAGCTCTCTTTCTGAAGCTTTGCTCTGTTCTTTCATTTGAGTCATATTTCTTTGTCTCGGCGCACCTGTTAAATTGTAAGGGGGCAGGGCCTTAGGTTTTGACCAGGGCAAGGTGACTCTCTTTGCTGCACTGTAGTGCTGCCTGTGAGGGAGGGGCCAGAGAGGGAACAGTGCAGCTCGCCTGCTTGGCTCTACCCCACTTTCCAATGAACCCTCGTGTGAGAGTGGGTGTTTCTCCCACTGCAACAACCACTGTAGTCCGCAGTTAGTTCTGAGTCTCAGTTTCCTGTTCTCTGGACTTTATTTTATTCCATTGATCTATTTGTCTATCTTTATGTCAATGTGACCCTGTCTTGACTACAGTAACTTTATAAGAAGTCTTTAAATCATATTCCTCCATTTTTTTCTTTTTCAAAATTGTTTTGGCTATCCTAGGTTCTCGCATTTCCATATAAACTTTAGAAGTAGCTTAAAGTTTCTATTTTAACAAATCTGATGAGCCCTGGCTGGTGTGGCTCAGTAGATTGAGTGCCAGCCTATGAACCAAAATGTTGCAGGTTCAATTCCCAGCCAGGGCACATGCATGGGTTGTGAGCCAAATCCCCTGCTGGGGGTCCTCAAGAGGCAACCAATTGATGTATCTCTCTCACATCAATGCTTCTCTCCTTCTCCTTTTCCCTCCCTTCCCCTCTAAAAATAAATAAATAAAATCCTTAAGAGAAAAAAAATCTGCTGAAATCTTGATTAGGAGGATTACATTGACTCTATAGGTTAATTTGGGGAGAATTAACCTCTTACCAATATTGAGTCTTTTAACCCATGACAACAGAATTTCTCTCCATTCATTTGAGTCTTCTGTATTTTCTCTCAGCAATGCTTCATAGTTTCCAGTATACAAGTCCTTCACATCTTTTTCAGATTTATCTCTAAGTATTTTATTTTTTGTTATTGTAAATGGT